GGCAAAGCTAGCAGGCGGGCAAAGCTAGCAGGCGGGCAAAGCTAGCAGGCGAGCAAAGCTAGCATGTGGGCAAAGCTAGCAGGCGGGCAAAGCTAGTAGGCGTGCAAAGCTAGCAGGCGTGCAAAGCTAGCAGGCGTGCAAAGCTAGCAGGCGAGCAAAGCTAGCAGGCGAGCAACACAGACGTGACTCTGTCCAGTCCTCATCTCTCCCCCGCCACCCCGTCGACAAAAAATAAACTGACGACCAAAATTAACCCATAAATAGTGAAAAAGTTGTTTCTTTATGCAACGTCTTGCAGACGATTACAAAAACGATGCAGGTGCTCTCACCTTGTAGATGAGGTTATCAACCAGCAGGTCGTGATGTATGACTCCAGCCTTCAGTTGTTCGTAATGCATCACGTCCTGAAACAGCACAGAGTGAACATGTATGTTGGAAACCACGTCAACATCCTGAATCCAACATGAGACGCGTCAGAAAAATATCAAACCGTTTGTTAGAGTAAATCCAACTAGGACATCTTTTGAAGACATTTTGAGCATACATCAACATTTTTCTCTAACCCAACAGTATTTTTTCTTTTTAAAAAGAAACTGTCCAGATTTTGTCAACATTTTGTTACAATTCTGTCAAACTAAAATGTAAGACAACAATAAAAGCAAATGAATATAATAAATGTTAAAAGAAGAAGTAAAGCAAAAAGTAAAATCTAGAAACGCACCATTAAACCATCAGCTCTAACTGGATCTCAAACTCTGCCCGAACCCAGTGCCAAAGAAAAACAAATGTCTGGAGCATAGATTTAAAAGTCTCAGCTGTCTCGGCGGTCCGTTTATGAAGAGGTAAACTTTTCCACAGATTTGAAGGAACAAACGTAAAAACTCAATCACCTTTTTTTTTTTTTGCTTGGATCTGGGAATATCTAAGAGAAACTGGTTGATTGACCGGCGTGCTCTTACTGGAGTGTAGATGTAGAAGACCGCATATGTATGACGAGGCAAGACCTTTTAAAACTTTAAAAGCAAACAGAAAGATCTTCAAATTTAGCTGGAAACGAACAGGAAGCAATGCAGAGATAATTTATCCAAACCAACATAAGAAGCATAAAAATAGTCCAACTGAGAGGTAATAAAAGCTCAAACTACTTTTCCAAGGACTTTGGAAGGGAGATATGCGTTTGCCTTAATGACAACGTCTTCGTTGCAAAAAGCTTCATTTGCATCCTGCATGAGTTTCTGACAGTACAAAGGCAAGAAGCCAAAAGTATTGCGTTTAATAAAGCTGATGACTTCAGGCTTAATTTCATCGAGATTCAGAAAGTTTAATTAAACAAACAGCGCACTCCCAGTCCCACTGTTTGTGGGACTCAGTTTGTTTGGTGGCTCCCTAGGTTGAAGAAGTCCTTTGGATGAAGGGCGAAACGTCTCAGCAAAAAAAAGAAACCGTCAAGATGGTCTGACTGAACATTGTTGGATTGTAATCTAGATTATTGAGCGTGAACTTTGGTGAACAGTGTTAAGGTGCTGATGCATTAAAGGACTTTTAATAAATCTGACTGTATTGAATGAAATCGAACTATAATTGGGTTCTATTGGACTCTACACTTGTTTTTTTTCCAATAAAACGTTGCGTTTTTACAGTGGGTTTGAGTGTGAATTAGGGATGCACGATATTGGATTTTTGGCCGATATGTTAAAATTTATTTGGCTGATAACCGATACCAATATCGATATTTTTTCCCCTGGACCTACTTACAGAGACTACACAGCTTTATCTACTGTGGAATTAAAATACTACATTATTCTGCATGGTCTGTCAGTTTGGCCTTCTACCAAATGCAGATGCCAAAAAGGGGCTGAAAATGATGTAACACTTCAACTTGGATTATGTTTAATGTCAAATTTATTCATGACATTTACTCTCTAACACAATGACAACACTTGAAAAGTCATACAAAACCAGCACCTTTTATATCGGTGTTATTTTGATGGAATGGCCGATGCCCGATATTTAACTTTATCACAAATATCGGCTGATACCAATATCATGCCGATAATATTGTGCATCCCTAGTGTGAATATTTGCTTTTCAAACTTTTTCAGCCACTTGCTCACCAGTATAGTAAGTACGGTGAGTGAGGTTTTCAGTCATGTATTATGTTGAACCAGTCCCTCCCTCTTTTCAGAAAACCAGCTGGATCAACGTTACGCCTTCTCAACGATGATAGCAGGATTAAACCAAGCTGAATGGAGAGGTGTTGTGTTTCCGAGAACATGCTTAAACTCAAACGTGTCTCCGGTTTTAAGACAGGCCGTCAAGACAGAGCCAAGCGGAGCAATAAAAACGTCGCCTGCGACAGTTCGGAAGCATCTTGACGATGATCAGCTCCGCAGATGTGAGAGCAGAACCAGAGAAGGCTCGACGGCTGAGGGACGACGCTGAAACCACGAACGTGGACCACATCGGAGGAAGAGTTAAAATAGAGCCTGCTAAAACAATTAATCGTGATTATCTGTCTTACCGGTGAAAAGCAGAAACATGAGCCCCAACGTGTACTTTTCAAGGCAGTATTACGGTACTTTAAGTATCAGAGGTAATAGTTGCTCCTACTTGAAGTAATATATAAGATTCAAGGAAGTGTTGCACAACTCGTGTCTCACACTCTGTTTAATGTGCAGTCCAAGTCCTGCTGACGCTCTCCAGACATTTCTCCAAGTCCCCTTAAATCAATCGTCTAAATCGCATACTTTGTTTTCTGGACTTGGCCTCAGCAGTGGGTTCTGGACTCCAGAGTTTTGAACAGGTCTTTGCCACACAGGCAGGCAGGCGTACTGTTTGGGCTAACTGAGCGAAAGCATTTGATTATCCTAACATTTGTGCGCCCAGCTGTGTCCAGCCAAGATAAACAGCGTCGTGGTAAATACACGGGTCATGAAGAAATTGTAGATCAGTTGGTGCTCCGTGTCATTTGTTTGTTTTACTGTGTAGCGTTAAAGCTGGGACACAAAAGTCCAAGAAGTGATGGCAGTAGAATAAAGGTGCAGCGGCTGAGAGATTCAGCTTGGGAATTAATGCAGCTGTGTGTTCGGCTGGTTTAAGATAAACACTGACAGCAGCCGCCGGAGGGCAAAATTAGCTGTTAAATGTGTGCGCTTGTGCGTGTGCATCTACTGTTGTACCTGCGGCTGGTTCGTGGAGTTGAGGATGAGGGCCCACAGGTCCGCCCGGAGCCCGGTGGGGCAGCCCCGCCTGCTGTACTGCTGTGCTGCGGCGCTGTCCTGCGCCAAAACAACTGGACGGAACAACAGTAGAGTGCACGTGAAACAGCTGTCTGTGCGGCTGCACCTTAAGCGACACGTTGACGAGTCTTTGAAGTAAATTTGTGAGCAAAAATGGAAATAACTGCAAACAAACATACAGTGGGTAAAAAATGGATTTCCCTCTTTCTTGGGATTTTTTCTGTTTAGTCTACTTAGAATCTGGGGTTTCAGTACCTCTCTATGGGTTTGTTTTAGTTTAGTTCAAGTTCAAGAATCTTTATTATCCCCAAGAGGCAATTTGTTTCACAGTCAGTAGACACACACAAAACATCCATACTAGACAAGACATTGCGACATTAAAGTAACAGAACAGAAATCATCATTATTCTTTGAGAAGCCTTATCGCTACAGGGATGAATGAGTTTTTCAGTCTGTTCATCGTACATCTGGGCTGCAGATACCTGCGTCCAGATGGAAGAAACCTGAACTGACCATGGAGTGGGTGATCAGGATCTGCCAGAATCAGCCTGGCCTTGTTTATACAACATAACTATCAAGTTGGTTGGTTGGGTGATGCTTACAGACAACAATCTGAACCTCCTAGGACCTGGCATCCACATATGCAAGAGTTCAGGTCTTAGAAGGTTAAAATCACAAGAAAATATCCTTTGGATTGAGTACTGGGCTTTGACTGGACCATTTTAGACATATAACTGCTTGTCCTTAAACCAAGAGACTGTTGCCAGTTCAAGTGCGTTTAGGATCATTGTCTTACTGAGACGTGAACCTTCATCCTGGTCTCAAGTCTCTGTTAGACGCCAATACTTTTCCCTCAAGAACTTCTTTGTATTTTCACCAGCCTGATGTTGCCTCCACCTTGCTTCACTATAGGACTGAAGTCTCCACCCAGCACACCATCGTTGTTATTAAATACGCTGATGACACCACTATATTGGAGCTCATCCACGAGGGGAACGAGACAGGCTAGCTACAGGACTCTGGTGGACAACATCATAAGCTATGGAGAGAAGAACAACCTCATCCTCAACACAGACAAGACAAAAGAAATAATATTGGACTTCAGGAAGAACCCTCCCCCTTTACAGCCTCTCGTCAATAAAAAAGGGACTGTGGTAGAGAGGGCTGACAGCCATAGATTCTAGGGACTGCAGGTTACATCGGACCTGAGCTTGTCTCTCAACACCCTGTGGATCACAGGGACAAAACTTCTTTCCATGGATTCGATGTCGAAAAAAAGCAGCTGGAATCATCAAGGACTCACTCCATCCAGCTCACTCTCTTATCAGATACAAAAAATGTTCAATTAACCTGAGACACAGTAGAGCGGATAGCATCGTCATCTATAGTACAGGGTTTAGGAATAGTTTTTTTTCCCTGTCACAGTCAGACTGATGGCAAAACAAAACTACTGATCAGGTGCAATAACCCTACACTACCTAGCATGGTTTACTTTCTGAACAGTGTAGATAGAAACCACCTTGTTCTTCCAACAAAGTTCAGTCAGGTCATGGACGGTTTCTTTTTTTATTTTTGATGAGACGTTTCATCCTTCATCCAAAGGACTTCATCAATCAGAGGAGCCACAAACAAACTGAGTCCTACAAGCAGCACACCCATAGCTTGTGGGACTCAGTTTGTTTGTGGCTCCTTGGATTGATGAAGTCCTTTGGATGAAGGATGAAACGTCTCATCAAAAAAAAAAAAAAAAAAGAAACCGTTCAGATGACCTGACTGAACTTTGTTGGATTTGAATGGTCTTCTCTTAGACCAAAGTTCATGCTCAATAATCCAGGTATAAAATCCATCAATGTTCAGTCAGGTCATCTGGAAGGTTTTTTTGTGTGTGTGTGCTGAAATGTTTCGTCTATCAAACCAGACCAGACTGGGGTTTTTTTCCACTTTGGAGTATGCTGTTGGTGGAGAATCAGTTTTGTTTGGTGGTTCTTGAGACTGAAGAAGTCAGTTGAATTAAAAACTAAACGTCTCAGCACAAAAAAGAAACCATCCAGATGACCTGACTGAACATAGTCTTCTCTTATTCAAGAGGGACTCGGAGTAGAGCTGCTGCTCCTCCACATCGAGAGGGATCAGTTGAGGTGGTTCGGGCATCTGTTAAGGATGCTTGCTCCCTGTGCACCTCTCTAGGGAGGTGCTCCGGACATGGTTGACAGGTAGGAGACCCCAGGGACATGCTGGAGAGCCTACGTCTCTCGGTTGGCCTGAGAAAGCCTTGGAGTCCTCCCAGAAGAGCTGGAAGAAGAAAAACATGTCTGGGCCTCCCTACTCAAGCTGCTGCCCCTCGAGACCCGACTCCAAAACAAGCAGCAGATAATGGATGGGTGGATTTTCTGAATGAAGTTGCTCTTGATGGTCACAAAGTCCAGTTTTAGGTTCATCTGACCACACCACCCTCTCCGACCATCTTCAAACATCCTGTCGTAACTTTTTCTTGAAGCAGTGACTTTTTTCATGCCTACTCTTGATAAACCCCAGCTCTGTGCAGTTTATAATGGTCCTATGATCTCATCCTCCCTGCTGTCCAGCTCCATCCGAGTTCTCTTCATTCTCTCTTCTTTGATTATTGCCCTACTTGCCCAGGATGCGAGTTTTGGTGGACGAGCCTCTTGGCAGACTTTCTGTGGTGTCAATCTTTTTATATTTAAACAACAAATTCAAAAGTGCTCTGCGAAATGCTTAAGATTTGGGGTAACTCTTTAAAACCCAGACCTGTTGTCTGTCTCTGATCTGTGTGAAGAGTTCCTTGGTCTTCATGCTGCCTCTCACTTGGTGGTAGCCCTTAATACTTAGAGGTGATAAACTGGTGTTTATTTTGTGTACTACGAGTTAGAACAGGTGAGTATTTAAAGACAGGTGGACTCTATTTAACTTATTACTGTATTTTTTTCAGACTACGAGATGCACCATATTATAAGGCGCATTACGTGAAACTAAACAGTCAGATAAATTAAACTTTATTCAACTCATTCACAATAACTCTCAACATTGTTCAGTTGTACCACATAAAATCGGTTCAAGGTCAGTTTGAGAAAATTAAAAGATTTTAAGTGCGCCTTATAGTCCGAAAAATACGATACGTGGCTTGGGAAGGTGTTGGTTTGGACTTCACAGCAAAGGGGTGAACACGTGTTTTACAATTTTTTAATTTCCAAATAAAATTCCAAAAAGGTCGCTTCCTTATTTAACTTTTTTAACTGAAAGGTTTTTGTATTTCTTATAATCTAAATATATATCAATGTCAATTAAAAACCACAAAGTCTCGCATCACAAAGACAATCTGCCAGTAAAATTGCACAACATGTGCAAATCTATCCAAACATGGTGGACGAGAATAGAACGAATGGGAAAATGAACATCTGCACGTTCTGAACCAAGAGCGCGCCGCTGAACACTGAAACAGTGGAGACTTTTGTTTTCTGAAAAGAAACATTTGGTAAACTAAAAAGCAAAAAAAAAACTATTATGTTTGGTTTATTTTTATCAAAAAATTGTTACAATTTTGTGATTATTTCTCCAAATAACATTCCTTTATTCTTCTAGAAATAAGAAATATTACAAGGCGTTCTTTCCATTATTGTGATTAACGCATAACTTCCCAATAACACTCGAACACACGCTGAAAACTGCCACTAAATCTGCTCTGTGACAGCAGCCAGAAACACAAAGTCTTTGACTTACGCTGCTGGCCAGTTTTGGCATAAACGAACGCACTCCTTCGACCTCTAAATTTCCTGTTTGACTGCACTTAACACTTGGCCTGGAAAATAGACTGCAGCCCAGAAGCCAAACTAAAGCCAACTGATGATAAAGTAGTGAACCAAGGGTGTGTGCTTAGAAGTACAGCCTTTGTGCCTTATAGTGGTTTGAAGACAACCGATGTTTGACTGGTGTGAGAATGTACCAGTAGGTTGTTTGCTGTTTTCACTGTTTATAAATGAGGATGGGTTTTCTTTTTTTTTTATTATTAGGAAACAGGGCTGCATGATACTGGATTAAAATGTCATTACATTATTACTAATTATCACTCTCTGTTCTGTCAACACTTTCCATGTGTTCCGTTCATGTTTTCTAAGGAGGAGAAAAGCAAACAGCAATGAATTTTTACACCCGTCAGAAATTTTAAGCTTTTTCACCAGCAGCTCCAGTACAACTGCCTTCATATTAAAAAGAAAAGAAGAGCTGCAAAGCAATCGGCTCATTGTGATCACTGGATGAGTGCGCAAACGATGCTATAATTGGGTGTGTCTGACTTCTTCTGATCAGATACCCAGAAACAAAGTAAGACTGTGTTTCACTCAAATCAGCTCAGCACTCCACAAATAAGCAAAAGGGTTTTTGAAGACTTGCACATGATGCTAGACTTCCTGGCTAACCAATCATCCATCCATTATCTTCTGCTTATTCAAAAGTCGGGTCGTGGGGGCAGCAGCTTGAGCGGGAAGGTCCAGATATCTCTTTCCACAGCCACCTCATCCAGCTCTTCTGGGAGAACCCCAAGGCGTTCCCAAACCAACTGAGAGATGTAGTCTCTCCATCGTGTCCAGGGTCTCCTCCCAGTTGGACATGCCCAAAGCACCTCTCTAGGGAGGTGCCCAGGGAGCATCCTTACCAGATTCCCGAACCACCTCAACTGGCTCCTTTCGATGTGGAGGAGCAGCAGTTCTACTCAGAGTCTCTCCCAGATAACTGAACTTCTCACCCTATCTCTAAGGGCGAGTCCAGCTACACTGAAGAGTAAACATTTGAACCACCTGTATCCGCAATCTCATTGTTTCAAGCACTACCAAGAGTTTGCGGCCATAGGTGAGGGTAGGAACGTAGACCGACCAGTAAACAGAGAGCTTCACCTTACAGCTCAGCTCCCTCTTCACCACATCGGACCGGCACAGAGTCCACAATACAGCAGATGTCACACCAATATGTCAATCTCACACTCCATTCCTCTCTCACTCGTGAACAAAGCCCCGAGACACTTGAACTCCTCCACTCGAGGCAGAACATCACCGTTGACCTGAAGAGAGCAATCCACCCTTAACCCACTGAGGAGCATGGCCTCAGTTTTGAAAACCAATTTGTTAACCAGTAATACCAATAATAATTCAAATCCTTTCCATCCATTTTCTTTAACCACTTTTTTATTCATTCAGGCCTGAAGGGAGCTGGTGATCATCTCCAACGGTCAATGTGAAAAAGGCGGAGTACACCATGGACGGGTCAACCATTCACATTCAGACTAACAAGCTGAAGTCTGATGGCATCTCATGTTTATATACAGTGGGGAGAACAAGTATTTGATACACTGTTGATTTTTCAGGTTTTCCCACTTGCAAAGCTTGTAGATGACTGTAATTTTTATCATAGGTACTCTTCAACTGTGAGTGATGGAATCTAAAACAAAAATCCAGAAAAATACAATGTATGATTTTTAAATAATTACTTTCCATTTTATTGTGTGAAATAAGTATTTGATCATCTATCAACCAGTAAGAATTTTGGCTCTCACAGACATGTTAGTTCTTCTTTAAGAAGCCCTCCTGTTCTCCACCCATTACCTGTATTAACTGCACCTGTTTGGACTCGTGACCTGTATAAAAGACACCTGTCCACACACTCAATCAATCAGACTCCAGCATCTCCACAATGCCCAAGACCAGAGAGCTGTGTAAGGACATCAGGGATTAAATTGTAGACCTGCACAAGGCTGGGATGGGCTACAGGACAATAGGCAAGCAGCTTGGTGAGAAGGCAACAACAGTTGGTGCAATTATTAGAAAATGGAAGAAATACAAAATAACGGAAAATCTCCCTCGGTCTGTGGCGCCATGCAAGATCTCACCTCGTGGAGCATCATTGATCTTGAGGAAGGTGAGGAATGAGCCCAGAACTACACGGTAGGACCTGGTCAATGACCTGAATAGAGCTGGGACCACAGTCTCAAAGAAAACAATCAGTAACACTCTACGCCGTCAAGGATTAAAATCCTGCAGTGCACGCAAGGTGCCCTTCCTCAAGCCAACGCATGTCAAAGCCCGTCTGAAGTTTGCAAATGACCATCTGAATGATCCAGAGGAGGAATGGGAGAAGGTCATGTGGTCTGATGAGACAAAAATAGAACTTTTTGGTTTAAACTCCACTCGTCATGTTTGGAGGAAGAAGAATGATGAGTACAACCCCAAGAACACCATCCCAACCGTGAAGCATGGCGGTGGAAACATCATTCTTTGGGGATGCTTTTCTGCAAAGGGGACAGGACGACTGCACCATATTGTGGGAAGGATGGATGGGGCCATGTATCGTGAGATTTTGGCCAACAACCTCCTTCCCTCAGTAAGAGCACTGAAGATGGGTCGTGGCTGGGTCTTCCAGCATGATAACGACCCAAAACACACAGCCAGGGCAACTAAAGAGTGGCTCCGTAGGAAACATCTTAAGGTCCTGGAGTGGCCTAGCCAGTCTCCAGACCTGAATCCCATAGAAAATCTTTGGAGGGAGCTTAAAGTCCGTGTGGCCCAGCGACAGCCCCGAAACCTGAAGACTCTGGAGGAGATCTGTATGGAGGAGTGGGCCAAAATCCCTGCTGCAGTGTGTGCAAACCTGGTCAAGAACTACAGGAAACGTCTGATCTCTGTAATTGCAAACAAAGGTTTCTGTACCAAATATTAAGTTTCATTTTTCTGGTGTATCAAATACTTATTTCACACAATAAAATGGAAATTAATTATTTAAAAATCAAACATTGTATTTTTCTGGATTTTTGTTTTAGATTCCATCACTCACAGTTGAAGAGTACCTATGATAAAAATTACAGTCATCTACAAGCTTTGCAAGTGGGAAAACCTGAAAAATCAACAGTGTATCAAATACTTGTTCTCCCCACTGTATATATATATATTTACAAGTATTAAAATACAAGGTACTAAAATTAGGAAACACACCAACCTTTTTTTCCGATGTGAACGTAATCGCTTTCAAACAAGTCTACACGGAGAACATGGGGGAAAAAAAAGTGAATCAGATTCCTCAACAAAATTATCAGTTTGATTTACAAACACAGAGAGAGGAGGGGACTATCTAAGACATGAACACCAAACTGGAACAATGTCAATATCTAAACATTAAAGAGATTTTGTTTGAGGAACTCCAGACAGGCATGAGGCGGTGCGGTTGATAGAACGTTGAGCCAAACCGTTTCACTGATAAACACGTTATTTCACCCCAACAGGAAATATTTTGGGTGAGTTTTGGGGTACTTAAAAAGTACTAAACGAGTTGTGAACGTTCCAGGCTCGTCATGCCCGATTTCTTCGTCGTGAGTTCATTAATCAATCGTACGCACATGAGTGTAGATCTTTGTTGTACGTTTTGTACCTGGATGGATGTTTGCGACGTCGTCAATCCCCAACTGCCCCATGTTTAGGTTCAGCTCTGAGTAGACTTTTCTCTGTGACACAGAAAAAGAAATTCATAGATTCCTGCGTCCTAAAGCAACAATTTGAATGATTGACGTGGGGTTTTACAAAAAGGTTACGAACAATTACCATAATTTCCGGACTATAAGCCGCTACTTTTCGCAAGCTTTGAACACTGCGGCTAAAACAATGCTGAGGCTAATTTATGGATTTTTTTTGGATGGGCTAACGAGCTTCATGCCGCCAAAACATTTAGCCTCGTCACACCCGGGCGCTCACATAACTGCCCAATACACGTCTCTCTTGGGGGGTGGGTCCTTGTGACTCAGTGAGACTATATGCATAAATTAAGTTTAAAAAAAAATAATTAATTAAATTGCCAAACAGTGCACCAATGAAAACAAGTTTCATTGGTGCACTGGAGTGTGCAGTGGAGAGCATCCTGTGCTCCAGCATCAATGTGTGGCATGGAGGCTGCACAGCTGCAGAAAGAAAAGCTTTGCAGAGAGTGGTGAAGGCTGCACAGAAATCTGTTGGAATCAGCCTCCCCACCATCACAGACATCTACACCTCCAGATGCAGGAAGAGGGCCACCTGCATCATGAAGGACCCCACTCACCCAGCACACACACTTTTTGCCCCACTCCCCTCAGGAAGGAGGTTAAGGAGCATTAAGTGTAGAACCACTAGACTGAGGAACAGCTTCTACCCTGAGGCTGTTAGACTCATGAATCTCTAACTAGAATAATCACTGTGAAAAACCATATCATGTTGCTGCTGATCTGTTTCAATGTTGATGTGTTCATGCGTGCACATCTGCTCACAGACTCATGTTCATGTTTGTGCTGATGTTCAATGTTTTATGTTATGAGTGCTTAGTGTATATTTAGTTGATGTTTTTCTTAGTTCATATCTTAGATGTTATTACTGTTTTTCTTATATTTTATTGTTGGATGTAACTGGGACCCTGTGTACATAATTTCGCTCCACCACATGTACCACATGAGGTGCGAATGACAATAAAGAAACTGACTCTGACTGGCACAACAAAGTATTTGCAGCCACTCAAACTAAGTGTGAACTGTGCATTAATGTGGCACTTCGACCTCGGTGGGAGGCTTGGATGATCGTTTACCAAAACTGGCCACATGCGAAAAGCATCGAAAACATCTTTTGCTCAAGTCTGCCAGTGGATCCCGACAGCGGAGCGGTGTAAAAAAAGTCCTCTATCACCAACAGGTTTCAAAAGGCACCTGCGTGATGAAGAGCACAAGCTCAAGGGCGCAGTGCGCAGGAGGAAGATGAAGATCACTGACTTCCTGGTAGGCTTCTGTATTTTTTTTATTATTTTTATTTTAACCAGCCGTGTTACATGCACTGTTCAGGAAAAAAATAACATTTACTGTATGGATGTTGTGTATGTTACCGGTACGCATTTAAGTAAAAGTTAACAAAAAAAAAATCTGTGAAAATATCTCATGCTGTGGACACCCGCGGCTTATAGACAAGCGCAGCCAATATATGTACTTTTTTGTTTTTGTTTTTAAATTTAGTGGGAGCGGCTTATATTCAGGTGCACTCAATAGTCTGGAAATTACGGTAGGTATGTTGTAGGTCAGGGCTATTCAACTAAATAGTCAGGAACTGCATTTTTACTGTAATTTATTGTTATTGTTGTCTGTACTTTATATGTTCTGTCTGGAACAGGTCCCTCCTGTAAATAAGTCCAAGTGGCTCAATGAGACTAGCCTGTATAAATAAAGGTTGAATACAGAATGAATGAATGAAAATTGCTCAGGGGGCCACAGTTACTGAAAACCAAGAGCTCAGGGGCCCAAACATACAGCAGTTATTGTCATTAAATGTTTGTTTTATGGTTTAAAATCTAGTTTTATTTAAAAAAAGAACCCACATGTGGGCTGAACTGAGTTCATCCGTGGGCCTGATTCGGCCCCCGGCCGCCAGTTGAATAGCCCTGTTGTAGATAATGACCTCAATTTGGAGAAATAGAGTAGTTTTGGCCAGATTGACGAGCTAGTGGCTAGTCAGAGCAGGGCCAAGACCAAAGATTGCTGCCACATCAAAACAACGCCAGTCTTTTAAAACTTCAAAAATTCACGTGAACGCAGTTTTATTAACTTTTAGCTCACAATGAATTCACATTACACGGCTTTAACGTAAAATCTTGTTTTCACTTTCGCGTTCCAATAGCAGCAGCAGCTAGCTGCATCACTTCCTGTGCAGCGTGGGACACTTCCTGCAGGAACATCGTCATGTTTCTGACAGAATAACTGTGCAAAACAAAACCGAGGCTGTTCAGGTGGCAACAACCTCCCCTGGTCTTGGTCATGCTCAGACTAGCCGTTAGCTCCTCGGTCTGATCCAAACTAAACTTTATTTCTCCAAACTGAGGTCGCTCAAACAGCTAAATGTTCCTGGTGGAATGCTGAGGGTCAGTTCAAGTATTCTTGTATGATTCAGAAGCGCAGCCAGACGACTGAAGATATAAATAAATAGTCCCGTCATATTAGAGAAGCTCATCCCTACCAGCTGTGGGAGGTCCCTGACATCGAGGGGAACCTGAATGAGACCCCAGTGGCTCCGGGTGCTGACGTCCTCACGGCTGTCGTGGTTGGGGTTCCTCAAACTGATCAGAACCTGCTTAGACAGCAATAATGATGCGACGTTCATCTCAACCTCGTCTTTAAAGCAAAACGAATATTAGCAGGAAGGAACTCCGGTACCTCAAGAAAGTCTTTAGGGGCGTAGACAGGCCTGAAGCGACTCAAAGCTGAGAAACAGAAAATGCATTACCTGTCTGAATAAAATATTGTTCACAAAGTTTTAGCTTCTCTCCACTGGCTCCCTGTCAAATCCAGAACTGAATTCAAAATCTTACTTCTAGCCTACAAAGCCCTCAACAACCTAGCTCCATCTTATATTACAGATCTTATTGTTCCATATTATCCTAACAGAGCACTTGGTTCTCAGACTGCAGGTTTACTTGCGGTTCCTAGAGTTTCCAAAAGCAGAATGGGAGGAAGATCTTTCAGTTATCAGGCTCCTCTCTTGTGGAACCAACTTCCAGTTTCTGTCCATGAGGCTGACACGTTGTCCAGTCTTTCCTGTTTGATAAATCCTATAGTTAGGGTTTGCTTATTATGCTGCTATAGGCTTAGACTACTGGAGGACAAACTGACCTCATTTCCTTAAATGAATTGTTTCATTTGATATTATTTCTATCTTAACATGTGATTCTCGACCTGCCATTGTGTATCTATTCCTATCAAAGCCAGCCGGTCGAAGCAGATGGCCTCTTGTCCTGAGCCTGGTTCTGCTAAAGGTTTCTTCCTCACGAGGCAGCTTTTCCTTTCCGCTGTCGCCTTCATGCTTGCTCAAGATGAGCGTCTGCGACAAAGTTAAACTCACCTGCTCCTCAGATAAATAGTGTTAACGTACGATTTTTTATATATGAATGTTTCCGTTCAGTGCCCTGAGACGACTTCTGTTGTGACATGGCGCTATAGAAATAAACTGAACTGAGTTGAAAGTTCTCCACTTGACACAAGGAGAGAGATTTAAAGCTGGCGGCGTTCACACGAGTCAGGGAGCAGCTGAGTCCAGCCCTCAAGTGGGACTTCCACCTGCCAGTCTGTGCAGCCAGGCTCTAAATTCACGCGACGCCGTCATCGCCAAAGCAGGGGAACATTAATGTTTGGGATGGGGGGGTGGGGGAGAGGGGGGTGCTGGTTATCGCAGCTCCGTGCAAGAGGTCTGGATAGCTTCTTTATTCGTAGTCCAAAGTGTTTACAGCTGGTGGACGGCACATCCTAAATGTTATTATATGTCCCTGAGCCGTGATAGAAGTGTTAGGACAAAAAGATGTGTGTGTTCTCTGGAAACGTGCCAGCTGAAAGTTAAAACGAGGCTGGCGTGAGCTAATAACTCCCGACTTTAATAACAGAATGTGTACTTCGAATGTATCGGGAGCGCTAGAACAACAAGCACAAATTTTACTGCGGGATCTGTTCGTTCTGAAAACCTTTTAAAGTCTGACATAAACAAGGGAAAGCCTAAATCAACACAGTAAAAAGTACAAATGCTGCAGAGTCTATTAAAGCAAATATGGAAGTGGTCGATCTGGTTTAGAGAAGCAGAACATTAAGCTGATGTTAAATACACCAGCTGACATGCACATGCACGTCAGCGCTAATCTTTCATAAAAGGCTGATGGCTCAGGGGCTAACCCCCCCTCCGGGGAACGTCTGCAGACCTGGTTCGTCCGTGCCCATCTCGTTCCATTTGTTGATGAGCTCCTTCTGCTCGGCTGCAGGCCTCTGCGGAGCAGGCAGAAACAGAAGATGTCAACAAATACGCCATCTCGCCTATAATCTCAGCAAAAGATGTGGCTCGGTGTTACGTTCACTGACAAATAAAATAAGCACTCAAAGAACGGTCTGATCTGCGAAAGGGATGGAACCGGTTTGATCTGCAAGAAGCCGGCACGTCAAGAACGAGCGCCAGAGGGTGAACGTAGTAGAACCCTTAGTGAAGTGACTGTTATCAGAAAGTTGCTGGAGCATCCAACAGTGAGTCCAAACAGTGAGGGAAGGTCAGCAGACAGAAAATCTTTTGTCGTCCACAGCATTTAGCAGAGGTCACATTGTGGGTCGTAGTGGGTCCATGTTAGAACAGATTAGTGCATAAGGTCACCCTCACGACAAGGTTCGAGTCATCCAAACAGACCACACAAATATTTTGAAGAGAAAACAAAACATTAACGGACAGAAATGAAAAGTTCTGCATAAAACGCACATCCCTAATAGTATGAATGTTTCTGAAGCGTATTGTGATCCATTTTTCTTCCGTACCTTTTTTGGCGCGATTCTCGTCCCGCAGTTTTCAAATTATTTCAACAAATCATAAATCAAAACGTTCAGCTCCTTCAGGACAATCCTGCTATGAATTTTTGTATTGGTGCAACTTTAGCTTTTTTTATATATATATTTAGCCTTTTCTGCCATTTTTTCCCTCATAGAAAATGAATTGAGTTCATTTTCCATCCTTCAGATCTTTAGGTCTGTTTACAACCTTTTACTGCTCCTTTCACATTTTGTTCTGCTTCAGCGTCTTTCAGCTTCTTTGTGCAAATTTTAACTTGTTTTCAGCTGCTTTCAGCAGTTTAGTGCTTTCAAATTCGTTCTGCTAACTACTACATTTTTGTTCTTCTTCTAATTTCTTCTTGTCAGCTTATTTCTGCAAGTTTCAGCTTGTTCTGCTATTTCTGCTACTATTTAACTGTTTTTGTACTGATTTAAGCTTTTTCAGCTAATTCCACATTTTTACACTCATTTTAACCTTTTATCAGCGTAATTCAGCAAAAATGTGCTCTCTCCACTTCTTATAATTTCAGCTTCTTTCTGCCTTTTTAGCTACTTTTCAGCTGTTTTTTGCTAATTTCAGCCTTTTTTTTAAGATAATTTCCACTTCTTTGAGATAATTTCTCTTCCTTCAGCAAACATGTTCTTTCTGCTTTCTTCTGCTAATTTAGGCTTGTTCTGCCTTTTTAGCTACATTTTTGTTGTTGTTGCTAATCTCAACTGTTTTCAGATAAATTCAAGATTTTCTTGGTAATTTCTGCTACTTTCAGCTTTAACTTCTTTTTGCTAATTTCAGCTTGTTATGCTTCTTTCAGCTTTGTCTGCTTGTTTCAGCTTTTTCAGCTTCTCTTTAGCTGTTTTTATGCAAATTTTAGCCTTTTCAGCCAATTCCAAAGGTTTTTGTTCATTTCAGCTTTCATTTTCATTCTGGTAATTTAAGCTTCCTTATACCTTTTCTGCTACTTTTCAGTTGTTTTTATTTTTTTTATTTTTTTTTGTGCTAATTTCAGCCTTTTTATTTTGCTAATTTACACATTCTTGTGCTCATTTCTGCTTATTTAAACCTAATTCAGCAAATATGTGTTCTTCCTGCTTTCTTCTGCTAATTTAGGATTTTTCTTTCATTTCAGCATTTTTTAGCTAATTTCAGCCGTTTTTCTGCAAGTTTTTCTGCAGTAAGCATTCACACTGCTTTTTTGCATCAATGCAATTTTACTAGTTTAAGTTTGTCACTAAATTCTGTCTTTAGCTAATTTGATGAGGCAGCCTGAATAAATGTGGATTTCCTCAAAGCACATTAAAAGCGTCTTCACTGAAACACTTGTATTAGTCTGAGCATAATCTGTCCTGAGCTCAACTGACTGACCTGTTCTTGAACTGACGTGAGCCCAGAAAAGCAGCAGAGTTGTTACCTGGAGCGGGGTGGGGGGGGGGGGGGTCTGCTCAGCTGTCTCTGATTGAAAAGAAACAAACAGTGATCCTTGGGAATACTTTAAATATAAGGCCTTTTTGTTTCTTTTCATTTGTTTTTATAATCTATAAATCACATGCGTCAAACTCCAGGCCCGGGGGGCCAAATATGGCCCTTGTTAACATCCCATCTGGCCCTTAAGATGAGCTTTTAAAAGTAAAACATTATTAGTGCTTCTCATTTTATCTAAAGACCGAGCAGACTTCATTTAGTGCCGACTTCTCTTGACCACTTTGAAGCCAAGAAAAATTAGTTTGAAACCTTTTTTTTTTTTCATAATCTTTGATTTTTTTTTATTTTTTTTTAAAGCGACAAAGAACGTCAAATGAAACTCTTGTTGAGGAACCTGCAACCAAGACAAGACGTCCAGTATCTGACTGGAGTTATGTGTTGACAGAAACTGGCCCTTTGTAACTTTGGCCACTTTTTGCAACCAAGTTCGATTAAATATGAATATTTAATAAAAGAACTGTTTATCAAAATTATTTTAATAAATAAAAATGTCCATTTTGTCAGTATTTTATTAACAGAACATGGTGTGATGAGTTTCTCTTTAATTTGTTGGCTCTGATTGTTTTAGAGCTGATCTGTGGTCAGCGTATGCTAAAATGTGCTTTCAACCACAGAACAACAGTCTGAGCGGTTTTATGTCACGTTATATTCATAAAGTAAACAAAGAGCTGACGTCCTGTTTGTTGCTCAGCTGTGTGACAGTACAGTGTGAATATATCTGCTCACAAAACGACATCTGTAACGACAAGTTTTTAGCAAATGATTCTGGTCAGTTTGTGATACTTGTACTCCTGGACCTTACCGCTGCTTTTTTTTACTGTTGGCCACAGTATCCTTATATCGAGGTTAGAACACTGGGTTGGGATTACAGGTGCAGAATGGTTCCGTTCTTATCTGAGTGAAAGGAGTTATAGTGTTAATGGTAATAATGTATGAGTCAGTGCTTCTTTCCTGCGGGGTTCCGCAGGGCTCGATTCTTGGACCCCTTCTGTTTTCACTGTATATGCTGCTCCTTTTGAGGTCTATCCTGAGGAAACATGGTCTTTCATTTCATTGTTATGCTGATGATTGTCAGATTTATCTGCCGTTAAAACCTAATAGTTCTTGCTCCATTCACCCTCTGTTAAAATGTCTTGATGACATCAAGGCATGGATCGCTTCAAACGTTTTAAGTTTTAATGATCAGAAAACTGAAGTCAATGTGTTTAGCCCTAGTTCTACCGCTGTCTCTGATCCTGTAAACCTTGACTCTCTTCAACCATATCTAAAGCAGTCTGTTACAAATCTTAGGATGGTTTTAGAATCTGACTTTAAACCAGTGTTGACCAGATTTGACATTGAAAAACTAGTCCGTGCCTTCATTACTACTCGATTGGACTACTGTAATGCACTCATGTTGTGGTCAGTCTGGTCTCCATTTCACGTCTCCAGCTCGTCCAAAATGCTGCAGCTCGGCTCTCAACAGGAACTCGTAGGTTTGAGCATATTTCACCAGTTTTGTCCTCCCGTCACTGGCTCCCTGTACATATCAGAATTGATTTTAAAATTCTCCTGCTGACCTTAAAATGCCTAAATGGCCTTGCACCCTCTTATCTCTCTGAGCTACTTCAACCATATGTTCCTTCTCGGACCCTGAGATCATCAGACCAGCTGTGTTTGGCTGTTCCAAAAAGCAGGCTGAAGCTCAGAGGTGATCGGGCTTTTTCGGTTGTGGGCCCCAAACGTTGGAACAATCTGGGCCCCTTCATTTCCTGTTTTTAAATCTCTTAAAAACACACCTGTTTTCTATGGCTTTTAACGCAGTGTGATTTGAATGAGTATTTTGTTGTTTTGTGTTTTTATGTTTTTCTCTTGATGCTTTTAATTAATTTTCTGTTTTATTATTTATCGATTTTTATTGTTAAGCACTTTGGTAGCAGCTGCTGTTTTAAATGTTATAAAGTTGAGTTGACAAAACGTTTTAACATCCACAATAACCAGCCAGATGTGAACCTAATCAATCAAATCCCAAATGACAAATCTGAACCGCCTCTCTTCTGCATGATCACAGATGATCATTGTGAGGGTATGATGGTGCCGATTGAAGAAGACCATGCTGGCTAACGTTGTGGAGAGACACTAGCATTACTCATGGTGAGGGGAGCCATAGGGTCTGACTTCAGAACAGCTCTGTGCCACATGTCTTGCCCCTCTTGAGACCGACCAGCAGAGTGCCAACTCTACCATCCCTGACGAGGTATTCATTCCGTCACGTGACTTTTCAACTGGCGTTTCCTTTCAACATTTTTTTCATCAGTGAGTGTAAGAAGGTCGTTCGAGAGGAAACGATCTGTTTAGGTTTGGCTAAAACAGACCATATTTTAGCTACCTTGCGAGACAGGGGTACTTCGAGCTCCGTACTCATACTGTTCAGGCTTTTGAGGACACGCTTCTCCCAGTTGTCCTGTAAGAAGAAGATGTGTGCAGTGGGCTTTAAAAAAAAAGTCTTAAAAAGAATAAACATCTCTGAAACTTGGCAGATGAAACTTATACAAACCAAAGAGTCAGGAGAGACCGAGATAAGAGGAGACGGACTGACCTGAGCCTTCCTCATGTAGGCCAGAGGCTCTTTGCAATGCTCTGCAGGAGCTCTGGGATGGCTCGAAGGCAGCTGGCTGGAAGAAAAAAAACAAGAAAGTCCACAGAAAAGCTAAAAACACAAACGACTTTCAAAGACTAATGCCAATAAAGGCACAAATATCAAGTTACTAGAACGAGTGGTACGCCGAGGTCCCCTATCGCTGAAGGATTTGAATAGTAATTGTCGTTTTTAAGATGAGTGTTTTTCTGGACTGGAATTGAACAGGTAGACCTGAATGTTTTTGGTGCAAGATATTCAAGTGGGTAAGAGTTACTGTGGAGAAGAGACGTAGTTGTTTTTACTTGTCTGAGGCAGGGCAGTGATGGATCCTGGCAAGTGGAGGGAGCAATTTTATCCACTACCAGATGCAGTGGAGGAGCCAGGGGGTGGTCAATGGTGGCCTTGGCCACCATAAATTAATCTTTGGCCACCCCAGATCATTTTAGGAGACTATACTTTTAAGCAATATAAAATTAGAAAGCATAGATGATGTGGTGGCCGATTTAATACAGTAGTCCCTTATTGCAGGGGTTACGTTCCAGACACCCCTGCAACGTAGGAATGTTATATTTATTTCAGTATTTATATATATGTTAAGGCTTTATAATAATAATAATAATAATGTCATCACAATGTCAGCACTGTATGTTTCCATACAATGGCGAAATTAGTCTCTGCATTTAACCCATCCACCACAGGGTGGTGCAGTGGGCAGCTATTGAAAGTGCCGGGGGACATTTTGGGGATGAGACGTGCTGCCCAGAGATGCCACGTGATGTGCAGTGACTGGGGATCGAACCTGGGACTTTCGGGTCCCAAGCCGGCTGCCCTGCCTCTACACCATCTATAAACCTTTCCCACACTCTTGCAATGTTCTTAACAATGTTCCAAATTCTCTAAACACTCTAAAAGAGCACAGCAAATGAGAGCAGACAGACTGATGCTACAGTTACTGAGCTCGGGGTGGACTGGCCATCAGGAGCACTAGAACATTTCCTGGTGGCCTGGCCCGCTCAGTGATCGCTTAGAAGCTGGACCAAAGGTTTGGTTCGAGTCCCGCTTGGCTATTTTAAATAAACAAGCCATGACGCTCACTCAGGTATCTGCCTAACTGCAGCTCCCTGAGCAGTAGCAATGGGAAAATACAGACTCCACCCCCTCCTTTCTCTTTCTGAGGCTGTCCGTCACTGCAGAGCAGAGAAACACAACAGACTGTGCACCCGCCTGTTGTGGGTCTCTGCTCTGTTGGGACAGACAGGCTCAGAAAGAGAAAAGAGAGGGCCCCTCAGCAATCACTGAGCGGGCCAGGTCACCAGGAAATGTCCCGGTGCTCTTGATGGCCAGTCCGCCCCTCAGCACAATGCTCTGGTTGGTCGCTTCCATCAATCAGCCAGTCGTGTGTCGTGTACAATCTTACTCTGAAAACCCGCAAAAGAGCGAGTCCACGAAAGTCGAACCGCAAAGTATCGAGGGACGACTGTGCATATGGTGGTGGCCATCTTGCATTTTGATGTGGCAACCCAGTTATTGAAAGGAACCTTTCTTGTGCCTAGATGCATCCACACACTATGGAAGTTGGTACCTCACTTATTTTTCAAGTTATCACGCTCACAACACTCACAAGCAGATGGACAGAAAAATGGATAAACGGACAGAGGTTATTTCAATTCCCCCTTTTCGCTCTGCGACGGGGAAAATCCATTAGAAGAACAGGTTATAAAAGGTTCCTTTTTAAAAGCAGCTGTATTGTCACCCTTAGTGGCCCACATACAGACTAGATGAGTCATGACTCATGTGCAGCAGATGTAGCGAGTGATTCCTGCTCACAGCAAACTGAATGACTCAAAGCCTTCGAGCTTTAAACAGTTGGCCTAATCTAAACACCTATAAGAGCACGTAACACGAGGCAGGAGTCTTCATGTTGACGTCTGAGCCTGCAGAAAGCAATAAGAGTCGCTTTTTCTTCAATACGAGTGGAAGCAACACATTTTTCCAAGCACTAATTGATCTACAGCAATATGAAGGACTTTAGCTGGAGGTTTCAGGTGCAGAGCCCAAATAAACAGATCTGAAACAACAAAGAGCAGCAATGAGAGTGAGATTTTCATGCGAGTCCTCGGAACACACCATGGATCAGACAGGAAAAAATGATGTAACAACTTGTTCTGTTCTCACTTTAAACACATTGAATTTAATAAGAACTATTGGGATTAATTAAACAAATATTCAGTAGGAAAGAAAATGTGATAAGCTGGAGAAAATGTGAATGCTGAGCGCTAAATGACTTGACTGAAATTTTATGAAGAAACGGAAACAGTCATTAAAACTGAAAGCAAAGGTCAGCTAAAGGCTAAAAGTAGCCAAAGTCTAGCAAAAAAATGTAATAGAAGAAAATTGCATGCTAAAAGCTAAGAAGCAAAAGGGAAGGTGCTAAAAAAAAATGTATGGATGGATGTGTCTGTCTATCTATCTAAAAGTAAATGAAATGTCACTATATGCTAAACATAACAAAATGGTAGCTAAAAGCCAAAAGTAGCAAAAGGCTATTTAAAATTAAAGGTGGCAAAAGAATAGCTAAAAACTAAAAGTATCAATAATTCTGGCAAAATGCTAATAGTAGCAAATGGCAGACTAGGTGCTGAAAGTATTTGTGTTGTGGCTAAAAGCTAAAAATACTAGATTAGTAGCTAAAAGCTAAAAGTAACAAAATGGTAGCTGAAAGCTAAAGGTAAAAAAAAAATAGTAGCTAAAGTCTAAAAGTATCAAAAGGATTTATAATTGCTAACAATAACAGAAATCTAGAGTAGCTGAAAGTAGCAGAATGGTGGCTAAAAGTAGCCAAAGGCTAACCAAAAGCAACATAATAGTAGCTAAAAACTAAAAGTATCAATGTCTGGCAAAATCCTAATAGTATCAAAAGGCTAGCTATGTGTTAAAAGTATTAGTGTTGTGGCTAAAAACTAAAAATACTAGATAAGAAGCTAAAAGCTCAAAGTAAAAAAAAATGGTAGCTGAAAGCTAAAGGTAAAAGAATAGTAGCTAAAGGCTAAAGGATTGCTAATTGCTAAAAGTAACAGAAATCTGCAGCAGCTAAAAGTAGCAGAATGGTGGCTAAAAATATCCAAAGATTAACCAAAAGCAACATAATAGTAGCTAAAAACTAAAAGTATCACTAAGTCTGGCAAAATCCTAATAGTAGCAAATGGCTGGCTAGAAGCCAAAAGTTACAACTAAAAGCAGCCGAGGGAGACAGAAATAAAAGTATGCTGAAGCAGATTTAAAAAACTGAACATTTTTGATGGAGATGAGGAGATCTTCATGACTTTCCCTGAAGAAAATGTTGATAAACCAAAAATCTCAGCCTCCAACTCCTAAAAACATACATACAGATTCAAGAAGCTACATGTCAGTTTTAGGTGTGACAGCAATTAAAAGCCGCAGCTCACTTTTCTCTGACTGGTTCCTCAGGAAACGCTGGATTCTTCTGACAGTTTGAAGCTTGATTTGGACCTGGACAGACACGCGCTTCACCGTGCACCTGCTCGGCGCTCACCCAGGGCTTTCACCGAAAATTCTTGTAACAAACCAAGCCACGTGCCAGCTCAGATATGTTGTGTTCACTTTTTTTAAAAAGTAAGGAAAGCCTCGTCTCCAAATAAAAGGTGCCTGAACTCTAGTTCTCATTCATGCACAAAGAAATTAATTAAATAATCAAATACAGCTAAACACCATAAACGATTACTCCAGCATTTATTGAGGGAATGCATATCACCTGCTGTGATTCGTTAGCTGTCTGAGCTTGTGTTGGGGATGACTGTCGGCTACCACACCACATTTTAGCTCAGTGTTTGAGCCACGTCTGTGGTTGCTAAGGTGGACAAGGTGTGGCGGCCATCTTGAAAGCATCCACCAACCAAAACAAACAGAAACCATGTTTCATCATCACCTCTCCAGACTTACATGTGCAGCTCTCTGTAAACAGCATTCTGCAGCTTTTTCTCCCAACCTGAAACAGTGAAACACTTTAAGAATACGGCAACATAAAACAAACAATACTATATTATATAGTAGAACAACTGAGATTTAGCAGAATCTGTGCTATTCAAATATTCCCACCTGAGGTTTTGAGAAATTTACGCACGTCTTCTTTCAGACACTGCAATTTTATCTCGGGTCGGTGTAAACAGTCCTGGAAAAGGAAACGGTTCATAGTATTGTAGGTAGCTTTGTGCTAAAGGTGAGCTAACGAAAAGCCCGAAGCGTTAGCTGAATGCTAACCGACTCACTTTAGCTTGTCTCTCGATCTGAGAATGTAAAGTGCTTCCTCGGAGCCGCTGGACAATCTGCGCGACGCTCTGGGAAAACTCCGAGTCTTCCTCCATCCTCCTGTTTCACCTGGAAGTCCCGCACAGGTGCGGCCTCGGCCGCTGGAGATGCAGCTGCTGAAACCAGAGGACGTTACTTAGCAACGGAGGGTTGGTCAGCGCGAGAGCGGGTGAAACAAGAGCCCGATACTTTGGTTCCGATAGAAAGAAAATACGTTCCGACGGTTGTTTTAGCAGGTTGAAGAGTAATAAATGTACAGTATATGCCTCTCGATTAAAATTATATTTTTTATTGATTTCCCTGTTCATAATTTATTCCTTTTTTTTTTTTTTAGACTGCCACTACTTCAACTAACTTTAAGCTATTTCAACTGTTCGTTCAGGACTATGACTTTTATCCCGTTTGAAATATTTGACTTTATTAAATTGGTTCCCTCAGTGAAATAAGGCAGAGCTCTTCAAACTATTAAAAATCTTTGTGTGTGTGTTGTTGTTTTTTTAACTATGTCAGTATTTCTTCATGTGTAGCTTGTAGCTATTGTTTTGCTAGTTTTAGCTACTGTCTCTAAGCTTTTAGCGTGTAGCTTTCTTTTTTTTTTAGCTACTGTACAACAAATTTGAGCTTTTTGCTATTGTTTTGCCAACATCAGCTATTAGTAATTGTTTAGCCAGTCTTAGCTTTTAGCTTTTTTATAACCTTTAGTTTTTAGCAACTGATTTACTAAAATTAATTTTAGTTGCTGATTTGCTAATATGTTAATTTTTGCTGTTGTTTGATAGTTTTTAGCTACTGTTTAGTTAGTTTTGGTTACTGTTTCACTACTTTTAGCCAGTTTATCTGGCTTTATATTGAGCTTTTAGCTACTAGCCAGCCTTAGCTTGTAGCTACCATTTACCCAAATTGTAGCTTCTAGCAACAGTTTTTTTTTTATATAAACTTTATGTATTTATTTTCAGCAACTTCATTAAAAGAATTTACTTTTACTGCTGCTTTGCTCATTTTAATTTGTGCTCATTATTATTTTTGATGGCATTGGTTTTAGCTACTGTTTAGCCAGTTTTAGCTTATTATTTAGCCAAAATGTAGCTTTTAGCTACTGGATTTCCCGCCCCAAAATTTAACTTTTAGCAATTTGCTGAAATTAGCTTGCAGCTGTTTTATTCACTAGAAAAAGGACAAATATTGACTATTTTGTTTGTGTTGGCTACCCTTTTGCTATTTTTAGCTTTTGTTCTGATCTTTAACGATTCTGTTTTCAGCAGTGCAGCGCTCACTTCATTTTCACAGAAAATTACATTTCTCTTGTTTTAAATGTTTTAGTTTTACCTTGAATTCTTCTTTGAAGCAGATGAATCCCAACGCTCGTTGCATGTCCATAAAGTTTCATCCTAATCCAGGGGTCTGTAATTTGGAGCCACATCTTTCAAGCTTTGACCAAAACTAACATAAAACTGAATTTTATTGGCTATTGAACAACAACAATAACAAAAAGGACTCGTTTTAGCTGTTTTCCTGCCACTTCTTTTGCAAATATGTGAATACTGGAACTACTACAAGACGTAAAACATACTTTAGCTTTATGCTTTATTTCTACGTGGAATTATTTTTTTCCACAATTAAGAAAAATCACATACAGTAGTTCACAGGTTGTTTTATTTATTTATTTATTTATTTACACCACCACCACCTTTTTACAAGAATCTGGTCTTTTCATTTATCTTAAATTGTAAAAATATCAACAAATGTTAAAAAATCCTTAGATGTTTTTAGCTTTACAGTATCACCCGTACTGGCCACAAAAGCCCCTCCAACAAACTTGAAGTGGCCCATGGGCCATCAGTTGATACAGTTTGTTGCAGCTCTGTAGAAGGTGTAAAAATGGCTCTTTTGATGGCAAAGCTTGCAGACCCCTGTCAGTAACTGATCATCAGGTCACAGCCTCAAAGCTTAAATGTCCTGCATGAACAAAAACTTGCACTGAAATAATAAGAAAGTAAGGTAGCTGTGGTGGCCATCTTGATTTGGGCTAATCCAGTCAATGTTTTCTGAGAGTTTAAATTCATTCAGTGGTTCATTTTGCTAACAGACAGAGTTGATGCCAAAGTTTGAGGCTAAAATCTTGCACAGAGTCACATGTGTTGAGGATGACCCTCAGCTACTACCACCCCCAGGTTTGAGCTCAATATCTTCAAAACTGAATGAGTTAAAGCCAGTTTTGTGTTTGCTAGGGTTGATTAGCTGTGGCGGCCATCTTGAATTGGATTGACTCCAAAAGTTAATTAATTGTAGGTGTACATGCAGTGATAGAATCCTGAGAATTTCATTCAAATCCGTCCAGATATTTATGAGATATTTTGCTAACAGACACGCGTGATATGAGCTGTTTGCGCCTGCGTCTCTCCACTCATCCGGACATCCCAGCCTGACATGTGCACGTGAAAATACCACAGCCTGCAGGATGTGACACAAATAGGTGCAGTTTGGTTCAAATCGCGCACGCGGTCCGGAGAAGAAGGAAGATTCTGTAGCTCCGTGAGCATTTTTGGAGGGGAGGGGTTGTTGCACGGGCTCATGTGAGCGCACTCCCAGAGCGCGTGCAGCAACCTGTAGGACAGCAGGCTGTCTGAGTGTCGGATATGATTTAAAACAGCTCATCCCTGACAGGAGCATGAACCCAAACCCGACCTGAATCTGTTGGAGGCGCAAAATGGAGACGTTCACCATCCAGGACGTGCTCATGAACTCAACTGATCTCAACAAGATCTTGTGCAATTTCGGGATCAGGAATCTGTCGGAATGTGAGAGCGAAAAGAACCTGCCTGCCGAACCAAAAGGTACAGTTAAATCCTCAGATTTAATCCCAACACTCGGATTAATGCTTGCGCCATAATAAACGCTCGCTTTTGGGCATTTCTTTCTTTCTTGCGTCATTGCGCATTAGGCGCACGGCTCGGGTCCTCTCCGCGAGGCTTTAATGGCTGGCTCTGCACGGATAAGTGAGCAGCAACATACAGAAGGGGAAAACAAGTCCAGTTTTGTGATGATTTCCCCTGAAAACAAAAAAAGTGAAGATCCTGCAGAGATGCGCCCACAGGGCATCAGCTCGGATGGACCCGAGGCACAGATTACTAAAGATTAGAGGGATTAAAAACAAGTTGACAGAAATGTGTCATGAAAGTCATGTTGATTTGAGTTGTTACTTGATTTTGTGTTTTTAGTTATTTAATTCCTAAAAATATATAAATATGTGCGCATATAATTCCAGTTCAGTTATAACATGAGCTCAGACAAATCTGGTGCAAAACATTCACATACAAAGAGGTTTTAATTCTTTAATTCTAATTTCAATTAATGTAATTATTTATTGGACAAAGCCAGCAGACTGCTTTGACTCTCCAGTCACAGTCTCCCAATCTAAGCAAGCACATTGTGGAAATTCAGTTCAGTTTGTTTCTATAGCACCAAGTCACAACAGACGTGTCTCAGAGCACTGAACAGAAACATTCATATATGAAAACAATAATTTAACATTATTAATCTGAGGAGCAGACGGCTTTGAGTTTAACTCCATCACAGAGTCTCATCTTGAGCAAGCAAGAAGGCGACAGTGGAAAGGAAAAAACCCTCATGAGGAAGAAACCTATAGCAGAACCAGCTCAGGACAAGCGGTCATCTGCATATGGTCCAGGTGTAGTTTCTATGGTCCTGGTGTAGTTTCTATGGTCCTGGTGTAGTTTCTATGGTTCAGGTGAAGTTTTTATGGTCCAGGTGTAGTTTCTATGGTCCAGGTGTAGTTTCTATGGTCCAGGTGTAGTTTCTATGGTCCATGTGAAGTTTTTATGGTCCAGGTGTAGTTTTTATGGTCCAGGTGATGTTTTTATGGTCCAGGTGAAGTTTTTATGGTCCAGGTTGTTGTTTCTATGGTTCAGGTGTAGTTTCTATGGTCCATGTGTAATTTGTATGGTCCATGTGTAGTTTCTATGGTCCAGATGTTGTTTCTTTGGTCCATTTATAGTTTCTATGGTCCATTTATAGTTTCTATGGTCCAGTTGTAGTGTCTATGGTCCAGGTGAAGTTTATATGGTCCAGGTGAAGTTTATATGGTCCAGGTGTAGTGTCTATGGTC